GACCATTGAAACAAAATGCTACTTTTTGGTTCCTCCAAGGTGTGGTATGTGCAAAAATACCTTATGTAAGCTAACCTCAGCCATAACTGGCAGCACACTAATGGATTTTATGATAAGCACATCCAGGGTACATAAAGCTCTGTAGCCAGAAATACTTGGTATGGTGTCAGGAATAAACCAAGAACAGACATGGAAGGAAAATTGCAACAAAAGGTTGCAAACAGAAGCAGCAAAGCAACAAAGGCTACACAATCTCAGCACTGTGCCACTTCCCCAGAAAAATTCAATTTTGGCACATTCCAGAGTGGACAGACTGCATATGCCATTTTGCATTGCTACCAAGCTTCACAAAGGAACAGAAAAAAAATACAGGTATCTTCTTTAATTTGTTATGGGGAAGTTCACAGGTCACATCTTTAAACCCCTTTGATTTTAATCAAGGCATCCAAAGATGTCTAGGGAAGGGTTTGGCATGTTTGATGCCCACCTTAGAGAACTGTGGTTTATGAAAGAGCATGCTTTCACCTGAGAAATCAAAAACAAGGGGAAAAAATGTTGAATATTTTATAAGAGCTCTGAATATATTGGCTGAAAACTGAATTTAGGAACACAAAACATGAAAATAATCAGACTTGCTGGTTATTGCGTTTACAGATAAAAACCTTTCACAACAGCTACAATTGAAGAGAGATAACACCCTAGCCACAGCTATTCAGATAGCAAAGCAAAACTCAGAATTAATCAAAGAGAACAAAAGGCAGGAGGCAGCTTGAAAATTCTGAAACTAGCTTAGAAGCTATAAACAGATAACACTTGAGTGTTAAAAATTATAATGATAAAACCCCTGAAGCAGAGCACTCCCAGGCCAAGAGGGACAAATTCCAACCTATGTGCACAAGGTGCAGAAAAAAAAAATGGAACTCAAGAGAGGATGCCTATCTAACCAGAAGCATATGATGTAATACATGCATAAAATATGAACATTTTGTAGCGGTTTGCCTCACCAAAATGGTCAAGAAGTTTACTCATGTTACAGACAATCAAGAGCCGCTGTTTCTCAGATCAATCATTTCTTATCACAAAGCCTGACTGGAAAGTGAAACTGAATATTCATGACAAGACAACTGCCTCTAAAAGGGATTCAGTAGCTGATGTCAGTGCCATTTCAGAAGGGATTTAACAGTCTCCCCTTCAATGCCTCTCATAGCTTAAGTCACCTGACTCAACTTTGGCCAGCCTTGGAGGTATTCTGAACTGCATAAACCAGTTCATCACAGAAGCAATTTACAGAGACAAAAGCTAGGTGTTGAGTGCACATGACTGAAGATCAACAACTTTTTCAGCTGGAATGTAGCAGCCATGATGAGCCTAATGACAAAACGAGGAAGAATTGATTATAGCTGAACTTTTGAAAGGAGATTCAATGAAAGTTAACTTAAGCCACAATTTGGAGGGTATCCACCAAAGAAACCTTGGAAAAGACTAGATGCACATTTATGCAAATTCAGAGGTTGTAATTATATCTGGAAAAAAATCCACAGTGACCAGGTAAAGAAAGAATATACTTGAAAGGCATACCACCACAGTATTATCGAGAAACTCAAGTGCACTTTGGTATTCCATAACTGATGGATAATGGACCACAATTTACTGTAGCAAAATTTAAAGTCATTCAGAATGAAATGTGATCCTGATCATATTACTAGCAGTCAATGTTGCCCAGAAGTGAATGGAGAAGCTGAGAGACAGCAAACAAGTCCTGTAGCAAGAAGATCCATTCCTTGCTCTTCTGAGTTACACAACACCACCAATATCAGCTACTGGATATAAGCCAGCACACCACTCAAATGGGAAGACAACTCAGATTCTAACGTTGGGGAAAATACGTAGTTCTATCTCAAAAGCCAAGAAGAGCATATGGACACTTTTACAAAGGACAACACAGAGCTGCTGGATCTAGAATCTGGTGATCGAGATCATGTCAAATTGGACGGAGAAGAACTTTCCACCCTTGGTCCCATTTGACAGAAATCACTGCCATCTATGGTTTGTTGCCCAGAAAGAATAATCACCAGAGCAGACCCTATCAACAGCAGATGCAGGACAAAAAAAAAAAAAAAAAAATCTCAAAGATGCCAAACTGACCTTAGTCAGATACTGCAACTAATGGACAGCCAGGTGACCAAGTTGTTATGCCTGTGGGTTAGGTCATTAGAAAGTCAGTACGATTCAGAGAACTGAACAGGATTGATCTACACTGAATTTCAGAGAGTATGAGAAGGTAAATGGCAGGAGAGTAGAATTTAAAGGGATGAAACACAATGCTGAACTATTATATCGTTCAGCCACTACGTGATGCTGTATACAAAATACCTTATTGAAAAAAGCCTCAGCCATCTCTCAGATTATTCAAGAGTCTTATGATACACACATCAGCTGTGGTCATATTAGTAAGCTCTATAGCCAGTCAATATCTGGTATAGAAACTTGACAATCACAGAGCTCAGTTCTTGCCAACTGCTTTTATTTTATTGCCATTAATCACCTGTACATCATTTAGATCTGATAGTTACAGAGATGACAAAAGGAACCAATCTTGAAAAGCTTCTGGGTAAGTATATAGTCAAGGATTAAAGTATATGAAAAAAGGATGCTGAACTGAGACCCCTGGCTGGTGGTAAGCAGCCCTGAAAGTTGTCATTACATTTTTCCAACTTGGACACACTTTCCTTACTTTCCCTTTAGAAGGATTGTTTTTGATGCAAAGCCTCCATGGGCAAAGACTTTGCAGAGCTATGTTAAAATATTTGTCTTTTTAAAAAGCCTTCAATTTTTAATTGTTACTTCTAAATAAAACGAATGGCTGTTAATATTATTGCTTTAGTCAGTGGAGATTAAGATACCATTATCTATTTTGTGT